TTCATTTAACCCTCACAACACTTCAGAGATAGGTACCTTTCTGGATCAGGAGGTTGAAGACCAGAGTCATAATCTTGCCCCAGTACACACAGCTAGTAAGTGAAGACCCAGGCAGTCCGACTCCAGAACCCATGCTGTATTGCCTCAAATGATTGAAGGCACAATTTTGGCAAAGAGAGGTGGGATTTTAGGACAAATTACCAAGATGCAGTTGTAATGTGGGGTAGTGCAAGAAGCAGGGAACTAGGAGGTCAGAAGAGCTGCTTCTGGTTACACACACGATTCCACACTGTCGTACAAATGTAGAGAGAAAAAATTTAAATGATGGGCTATGGTAAGTACTGAAAAGTAAATATGAAGCTTATGTGTAGGGGTCATGTCATGGGGGAAAAATGTCATTCAGGCCCTGGCTGGTGTGGCTCAGTGGTTAGTCAGCCCGTGCACCAAAGGGTTGTGAGGCAGGTTCAATTCCCAGTCAAGGGCACATACCTGGGTTGCAGGTTCCATTCCCCAGCCCTAATTGGGCGAGTGTGGGAGGCAACCAATCAATGTATATCTCTCACATCTCTCTCCCCCCACTCCACTCTCTCTAAAAATCAGTGGAAAAATTATCCTCTGGTGAGGATTAAAAAAAAAAGTCATTCAGTGTTTGGGAGGTATATGAAATTACCCTGGAGCAAGGGTGACTGGCTTCACTAAAGGTACCCTGTAGCAGCTCTCACTGGTGGCCTCCTCTTGCTCTGGCTGTTGTTGATTTAGGCCTGGGGTCTCCTAGCTGGTCTCTGGGCTTCTGGCCTCTTGCCTTTCTCATCCATCCAGCATTGCAGCCTGATATGGTGAAAAGAGCAAGAGCATCAGATGAGAAATTGGAGGGTTGGGTTCCAGGCCTACCTCTGCCACTAGCTCAGCTGTGATCTGAAGAAAGTCCCTTCCCTCCTCTGGGCCTCAGCCTTTCTCAGAGCCTATTCGTGGAACGATATCCTCATGATATGCTTGGTGGACTGCAACCCAGGTATGTGCCCCTTAGAGAGTGCCCTCAACAAAGAAACCTATCCCACCCTCTGCTTCCCAAACCCTGCTTAAAACATTGAACTAGACAGTTCCAACAGCTCCCTTCCAGCTCTAAAATGCTGTAGTCCACCCTGTCATTATTCCCAGGGCCACCCCAGGAACAGAATCCTCCATCTTCCTGACTCAGCCAAAAACCTTATCATGGTTCTCGGCTCGTCTGATGCTCTCAGCCACCACATCCAGCCCACAGACAGGCTCTGTCCATTCATCTTCCAGTGTTTACCTCTAGTCCTGCTACTCCCTATCTCCACTCTACAGTCCATTCTCAGCACAGAGTCAGGTTTTGTTTTTTAAATGTTTTTATTGATTTCAGAGAGACAAGGGGAAAGGGAGAGAGAGAGAAAAACATCAATGATGAGAGTCATTGATCAGCTGCCTCCTGCATGCCTGCCCCCTACTGGGCATCAAGCCCGCAACTCCAGCATGTGCCCTGACGAGGAATTGAACCATGACCTCCTGGTTCATAGGTTGAAGCTCAACCACTGAGCCATACTGGCTGCACTTGAGTGGGTTTTTAAAATGCAAATACATATATTATAAATCAAATCACCTTGACACTCTGCTCACCTTGATGCTCCCCTCCCCCCCAGTGGTTTATATGAGGTACTAGAGTACTCAAATTCATAGAGACAGAAAGTAGAATGGTGGTTGTCAGGGGCTGGGGAAGGCGGCATAGGGCATTACTGTTTAATGAAGACAAAGCTTCAGTTGGGGAAAATGAAAAAAAGTTCTGGAGAGGGATGGTGGTGGTGGTTGCACAACAGTGTGAATGTACCCAATGCCACTAAACCTTACTCTTAAAGGTATTAAAATGGCCCTGGCTGGTGTGGCTCAGTTGGTTGAATATCCTCTCATGAACTGAAAGGTTGCCAATTTGATTCCCAGTCAGGGCACATACCCAGGTTGAGGGTTCAATCCCAGGTCAGGATGCTGTGAGAGGCAACCAATCAATGTTTCTGTCTCTCTCTCTCTCCTCCCCCTCTATCTAAAATCAATAAAAACATATTTTTCAAAAATTTTAAATGGTACATTCTGTGTTATATATTTTACTGCAAAACAGAAACAACCCAGTGACCTTCCAGTGTATTTAGAATAAAATCCAAACTTTGCATCATGGCAAGCAAGAGCTCTGTGACTTGTACCCTTCCCCTACTCCAAGCTCATCTGTAAATCTCCTCTCAGTTCCTCAAGCCAGCCACCAGTGTCCTTTCTGTACCTCACCCAAACTCATCCTTTCCTCAGAGCATGGCACTTGCTGTTTCCTCTGTTCAGAAACTCTTCTACTCTCCTCCCCACTCTACCCCCACCCTTCATCCCAACCTCTAAAACCCTGCCCTCTCCAACTCCCACATCCTGCCAGGCTGACCATTTCCCTTTGGCTCCTGCTCATCATCATTTGGAACACAGCTCAAATGTCTCATCCTGCCCTGGCCGGCGTAGCTCAGTTGGTTGGGCGGTGTCCTGTGCACCACAAGGTTGCCTTTCAATCCCCCAATCATGTGGTAGGTGTGCAGGAAGTAGGGGACATGCAGGAGGCAGCCGATTGATGTCATTGCTCTCACATCAGTGTTTCTCTCTGTCCTCCCCCTTCCTCTCTCTAAAAAATCAATAAAAATCTGGTTTTAAAAATGTCTCATCCTTACCAAGTCCGGCCTAGGTATCCATCTGCAACAGGCACTTTCAGCACATCTTCTGTTTTAGTTCCTTTGTAGTGTTTACTATTTGCAATACACTACCTGTTGTATTTATATACTGGCTTATCACTAGTCCTACACCCCCCACCCAAATGTAAGTTCTAAGAGGATTCCTGTGTCTGTTTTCCCTGCTATATCCTGGCACAAAGAATAGTTCTTAGTACATGGCAAATGCTTACTATATATCTGTTAAATAGATAAAGGAAAAAGAAAGAGCAGACAGCACTCATCCTGTGTCTCATGCTGACCTTGGCAGTGCTGTGCTTGACACGCTGTGCCTGGTTCTGCTCCCCGCTCCCTAGTGGCACCTCCTCTCCACCTTCTCTTTGACTCACCCCGCTCCACTACTGGTCACCCCTTGGCCTTCACACCCTCCACTCCTGACTGCCCCTTGTCCAGCAGTCAGGCTCCATCTCTCCAGCTCTCTGTGCTTGGAATCTCTGGGACTGACTTGTTCACAGCTCACATTGGCAGTCAATGAGCCAAGCAGATACTATGGCAAAGCCTCTCCTGGGTATCTTTCTTCCCAGTTCCAAGGTCAGGAAGCAAGAAAAGGTCTTGCTCTTTAGCATGGTCCCAGCTCCTTATCAGCTCTAAGAGCAGATGTCCATCAGGTCTCTAGTGTCCAGTCTCCTTCCACAGGTCATACTCTACAGTTTACAAAAACATCTTTTTTTAAAAATATATTTTTTCTTTATTGATTTTCAGAGAGAGAGAGGGAGAGGGAGAAAGAAACATCAATGTGCAAGCAGAACCAGGGGTCAAGCCTGTAACCTGGGCATGTGCCCTGACTAGGAACTGAACTAGCAACCTCTTGGTGCACGGGACAGCGCCCAACCAAGTGAGCCACACCAGTCAGGGCCAAAGACATCTTCTGACAGTAGCTATCAAACAGCCCTGCTTCTCAAGAACTTTCTATGGCTCCTCAGTGCCTACAGGATAATCCTTAAGCTCCTTTGCTGGGATCTGTGGCCCTTCCAGGTTGGCATCCACCCCTCTCCTGCATGTCTGCCATTAGTCATTACCTAGTTCTTTTTTTAAAACTGGTTTTAGAGAGAGGAAGGGAGAGAGAGATGTGAGAGAGAAACTTCTATTGATTGCCTCTTGAACTCTTCCCTGACCGGGGATCAAATGTGCAACCTGGGTATGTGCCCTGGCCAGGAATCCACCTACCACCTTTTTGTGTACAGGGACTCTGCTCCAACTGAGCCACACTGGCCAGGGCCATTACCTAGTTCTTTATGTTTCAGTCAACTAGAACTACTACCATTCCTTATACATGCCTTTCCTGGTTGAAATCTTTCTCATCCTTCCAGGCCAATTTGAACCACTTCTTCCAGGAAACCTTCCTTGTTTCACCCTAGGTCTCCTCTTGATCCCCTTCACATACTATTTTGTATTGGTTAGAATAATAATAAAAATTGGTGTTTATTAAATACTAATGTGCAAGGTACTCTTCTATATGACCTCACTTAATCCTACAGCAGTTTTATGAGGCAGGTGTTATTATCCAGGTTTTATAGATGAAGATACTAAGGCACAAAGGGGTGATTTGGGGTAAGTGACTTGCCCAAGATTGCCTAACTAAAAAGCAAGTGAGTCAGGATCTGAGCCCAGACAGTCTGAATCCAGAGACCATTCTCTTACCTCTATTCCACAGTGTCCATTTTTTACCCTTTTTATGAAACAAGGCTCCCTTGCTGCTCCCTTTACCTGAAAATCTCCCCACACACCAATTACTACCTAATGCTATGGGAAGCACAACTCTCTCAAGATGCATTTCCTGGGATATCAACAACGAGGATGGGTTAGGTGGTGCTTCTGGCTGGACATCCTTCATCACAGCCGCAATCACTCTTTTCTGAGTCAGCGTGTGTCTGGAGCCCAGCACACGCTGACTAAAACCCACAGAGGCCTCAGATGTTTGTTGAATGATGAATGGAGTCAGCCTTCCTCAGCCCAGAATTCCCTTATCACCTAGCTGTCTCTCCAACAGAAGGTCACTGAATATTGGCTGTACTTTTCTTAGGGAAAGGTCACTGGCTTATGCAGACCTCTCAGTTTTCCTGCTGAGACTCTCCCAAACAGGCAGGGTTGGGCCCTGCATCCTGAGGAGCCACCCCTAGTCCCAAGGCGAGGCCACTCTCTCACTGGGAAGTAAGGATCAAAAAACCTTTTTTATTTTTATTTTTTTATTTATTGATTTGAGGAAGACAGACAGAGAGAGAAACATCATCCACCTATCCATATACTCATTGGTTGATTCCTGTATGTGGTTTGGCCGGGGATCAAACCTCCAACCTTGGCATATCCCGATGACACTCTAACATAGTCAGGGTCAAGAAACCTGTCTTGTAGTTGCTGTTTGCTGTCCTCCTGGCTTCCTGCCCAGATATAATCCCTCACCTCACTCTCACCTGAGACCCTGACTTGGGTCTACCCAGATATGACTGTTCAGAGAAAGTGGTAGAAATATCTGGGCTCTGTGTCAGTTTCCAGCTTTGCTGCCTTAAAGCAATGAAATGTTGAAAAAAATCACTTCACCTCTCTCAGCCTCAGTTTGCTCATCTGCAAAACATGACTATTACTATCCATGCCCTGCCTCCTTAGCCTTTCTGAAGCGTAAAATGTCGATAATTTCCTCTTTCAACACGTTGCACATTTACTAATCATATGTACTATCTTGTTAAATTTTCAGTCTTCACAGTAACCCTTTCCTTTGAGGTAGATATGAGTAATCCTCATTTTACAGATGAGGGAGTGAGACTGGGGAGGGCCAGACTTACCAGCTGTGCCTCGGGCAGAGACTAGCTCTGCTCTGGGTTTCTGTGCTCTTTCCACCCACTCCACTTCCTGGGCTCCCTGCTGGTGTCAGCTAGCCAGGGCTTGAACACACCCTCCATCTGGGCCCCTTCCCCAGGCCTGGGCCCTCCTCAGTATTTACCTCTCATGTAGATAAGCAGCAAGGGGTGTTTTTTGAGACAGTGGAAAGATCGTGGTTGCACCTGCTACTGAAATAACACTGAGAAAAGTCTAGCATCTCACTCTCTTCATTTTATAGAAAAATTGGGGAAAGAGGTGTTAAGTTTAATCTAGTTGAATCTTTACAGGCACTTTCCTTTTTACATGTTTGAAAAATTGAGGGATCCTTGAGGGAAGCCCAAGGGATGAATTTGGGTTCCCATGTCCCTGATTGAGGAGCCTCCCTCAGAGCCCGTCAGTCGGTCCTTACTGCCGAGGTCAGGCTCAACCCCACAAGTGGGAGTCACTCACCCGCACTCCTCAAAGATGTCTGGGTAGTGCCGGAACAGCACCGGCGGGTCCCGGTCACCTCGAACCGGGGCCCGAGGCACAGCCCGGATCCCAGGCCTCCGGCCTCGCCGGCCCCCAGAGCAGGAGCGATGGATCCACTGGTGCGCTTCCACCGCAAACTTCCTCTTGAAGCGCATGCCACACTCGGGGCAGGGGAAGGGCCGCTCCCCGGAGTGCATGCGCCGATGGCTGACCAGCAGCGACGGGTAGGTGAAGCGGCGACCACAGTCTGCACATACGTGGCGCCGCTGGCTGGCCTGAGAGCTCACGCTGGGCACCGGGGCTGGGGGCTGCGCACCTGTGCTCTGGTCCCAGGCAGTTTTTGTTGATGGCTGTGCCCTTTCCGAGGCCTTGCTGGTAGCCGAGTCAGAGTTGTGTTTAATTAGCTCCTCAGGCCTGTCCTCAGGAGTCTTTCTAGGTCCCTTGGATCCTGGTACTGCCTTGGGTTCCTCTTCCTTCTTATTTGGGGTGTTTCCTGGGAAACAGGAAATTAAGATACATTTCAAAACACATCTGCTTAGACTGTCTCAGGTTATAGGATGCTTTTACTTAAAAAAGTGCCAGAAAAATACTGCACAGTGATTAACACACAGGCTCTGAAAGGACAGTAAACAAGTTCAAATCTCTTAAGTGACTTATCTGGGCCTTGGTTCCTCATGTGTCAAATGGAAATCATAATGATTTCTTTACAGAGGTTTTGGAAGAATTAAATCAGAACATGTTGAGTACTCAGTAAATGCTCCATGAGCAGTAGCTATTACTGTGTTTTCTCGATTTTCTGTAGGGTAAGCCTTTTACAGAGGAGGAAACCTATTTGCTGGAGATCACTGCTGGGGGATGAGGGGAACAGAGCCAAGCTCTCGGTTGCTGGGCATTTTCTCTGCTCTGCTTGAGGACTGTGGAAGGCGGGTCTGAAGTTACTTCCAATCCTCCGGGATTTTAGTTGTTCCTGAAAAAGGGAGAGTAAGTGGTGTTTTCTACCACAGGGATCTGGAAGCCTGAGTGTTGGACTTGTGCTCCTGATTTTCCTGCTCTGGTCTCGACATGATGACTGTCTCAAGTTCTGAAAATTTTGTACCAGTTCTGCCTCCTTTCCTCTGTTATCCAACACTGGGTGGCTCTTTCATTCCTTTAGGGATGCTGGGAGTGGGGATCTTAAAAAACAAGAAACCCTGGAGTGCCAGGTGGGGGAGACTTGGGACAATCCCTCACCTCTCAGAGCTCCTCCCACGCATTCCCCCTCCTCAGGATCCTGGGCGGCCGGGTTCCAAGCCTCACTCTCCTGTTCCATCCAAGAGATGAGGTCTGGTTTGGGGCCTGGGAGTCCTGGGAGAGAATAGGGATCATTGCCAACCTGAGAGGCTGCCCTGGGAAGATGGCATCCCCCTGCAGGGTGAGGGCACTTCCTCAGAACTTATGCTCAACGTGATGGTGTCTCAATGCTCCCTGCCTGGAGGGAGCGGATTCGGGTTGGAAGAACTCCCAAGGGGGTACCTGAGGCCCTGGGAACAGAAGGTGGCTGGTCCCGTTGGTGGAATAGTTCGGGATTAGGGCGCACAATCCTCCGAGTCCCTCTATTTCATCTCCTCTGTGAACCCCAGTGGAGGAGGAGGGGGGCTCTGACCCCGGCCTCACCGAGGGCGCCCAGGTGGCCGTAGGTCTCCCGCATCACGTCCCGGTACAGGGCCCTCTGCGCGGGCCGCAGGCACCCCCACTCCTCCGGGGAGAAGTACACGGCCACGTCCGCGAAGCTCACGGACCCGGGCTTCTGGCAGCGAGGCCGGGTCTCCCCAGCTGTCAGCGCCGGGAGCGGGGCTGGGGGTGGCGCCATGGGGCCTCCCAGCCCCGAGCAGCGGCCGCCTTGTCCCCGGGGCCACCGCCTCCCGCGCCCAGCTCCGCGTTCGTCGTCCGCAGGACCGGCTCCCCGGGCCGCGGCCCCCCCAGCCTGGGCGCCGAGCGCAGCCGCGGGAACCGGAGTAGCAGGGACTGGCTGCTATGGACTCGGGGGTTCTGAGAGGGACACACCAACCCCCTCGGTGTTTATTCACTTCTTGGCAGCTTGGCCACAGACACCCGGGTTGCGGGACCCGGAAGGTGCCTTCAGAAAATATGGCGACATCCCGGCTTCAGTTGTCACTGACTGCTCTTAAGGGCGCCGTCCCCGATCATATCAAACATGGCGCCGGTCCGGCTTCTCAGGTCTCATCATCCACTTGCCCTCAAGTAAAATGGCCGCTGCAGGTGGCTTTCAGGGGGAAGACGGGATGGAGGGAGGTCGTGGGGGAGCCTTCTTGCCTTCAAGAAAGATGGACGGGCCGGCGGCGCCCAGCGGCCGCTGATTG